GGGGGTAGGTGAGCGGCTCTGATATCAAGGCCCGAACCCTAAGGCCCAAACCCTAAAGCTAGGAGGAAGCTGACCCCCAGGGGAGGGGTTCCTAACTGGCGCCGGCCTCAGGGAGTGTGTGAGCCCCAAACTCACATGTCAAGCTCTGAGTCTCCCTGTCTGTGTGCATTTGGGGGCGGGGGTCGATGATGGTGTTCACCAGATTCTCGAAGGCGTCCGCGAGCCCTCCCCCGCCCCCACTAAGGCTTCTCTAAGGCGGATCAGAAGGGCAGCCCCACAGGCCGAGAGGGGCACCTGCAGAACCGGCCTGAGACGGATGAAAGCCCACACCCGAGGAGCCACTGGAAAGAAAACCGCGAGGCCAGAAGAAAAAGAGAACGACCCCTAACTGCTTCACGGTCGGTTGTCATGAAAGCAGAAAAAAGCAAGGCAAAGAAAAAGAAAAACTAGAGACACTGTGTATCCAGGGTGTCCTGGGTGAAAAGGCAGACCCCAACAAGGGACAGCGAGGTCGGAGCCCTCCTGGGGGTCGGCGGGTGCGCTCACCGCTCACCGCGGCTTGTGGCTCCCTTCCCGCCCACCTGTCTGCTCAGACGCTCAGCATCTTGTCCCTGGATTGTGGTGACAGTGTCCCCAAGGCACAGCCACCAGGCACAGCGCACCCCCCCATCGATGCTATCGTTCTACTGCCGAAAGCTCTTCAGTGACCCCTTACTGCCATTGCCCAAAGTCCAAGCCCCATGCAGCGTCCCGGGGCCTCCACACGCACCCCTGGCGCCCCCTCTCCGGCCTGGCTTCCCTGTCTGCATAGACATTGTCTACTTACTCCCACTTACCCCCACCTCACCTCCTAGCGCCCACTGCCTGGGCATTTCTACCTCAGGCCCCTACCTCCATCTTCAGTTTCAGCTTAGTCCCCCGACACCCCATTTCCCAATACCCCTCCTGAGGTCCCCGCGAAGACCTGGCCACAAACGGCTCTCTGCTGCCCCCTGCTGGCCGCATCGGGCCTGGCCGGCCGCGCTGTGGGCTCCGCAAACCCCCTCCGCAGAGACAAGTGTTCTGGGCTCTACACAGTCTCTGTCCTCTGCCGCTGTGACAGCAGCCATGCACAGTATTAGGGTCGCTGGAGGGGAGGCGGGGGGATGGGATACCTGGGTGATGGGCACTGGGGAGGGCACGTGATGGAATGCGCACTGGGGGTTACATGCCGCTGATGAATCACCCAACTCCACCTCTGAAACTAGTCACACACTGTATGTTAGTTAACTGAATTTAAATAAAATTTTAAAATAAAATTAAAAAAAAAAATAGGGCGCCTGGGTGGCTCAGACGGTTGAGCGTCTGCCTTCGGCTCAGGTCATGATCCCAGGGTCCTGGGATCAAGTCACACATCAGGTTCCCTGCTCAGTGGGGAGCCTGCTTCTCCCTCTGCCTCTCTCTCTCTCTCTCTGTCTCTTATGAATAAATAAAATCTTTTTAAAAATTTTTAATTAAATTAAATAAAAAAATAAAGAGTGGGCATGTCTGTGCCCCAATAAAACTTGATGGACATTGAAATTTGAATTTCACGGCTTTTTTACAGGTTACAACTATTTTGACAATTCCAAAATGTAAAACTCATTCTTAACTCACAGGACATAGAAAAACGGGCAGAAGGACAGGTTTGGCCCTCGGGTCCTACTGCACCCCCATATCGTTGCTATTCCAAGTGTGGGCAGCACTGCAGTCCCAGCTGGGAGCTTGTCAACAATGCCGAGTCCTGGGCCCAGCCCCGCTGCACAGAATCGAGGTCCGTTCGCTGAAGTTTGGGAAGCGCTGCCCTGTTTATTTCCATGTTGCTTCCTCCTCTATTCCCTCACTTGTTTCTTATCAGAGGCTTCCTTCAAAAGCCCTACTGACTTTTCGTTAACATAACAATGCACGTCACAGGGGCGCCTGGGTGGCTCAGCCCTGGGCTCAGACTGTTGATCTCGGCTCAGGTCACCATCTCAGGGTCATGGGACTGAGCCCCACATTGGGCTCCACGCTCGGCACAGAGTCGGCCTGAGATTCTCTCCCTCCGCCTCTCCTCCCCCTGCTCCATCTCACACTCTCTCTCTCCAAAAAAAAAAAAAAAAAAAAACCATGCATGTAACCACGGGGAGGAAACGCGGAGAAAAGGATGCCCTCCCAGGCGTCCTGAGAGGCGGGGTGTCTGAAGCAGGGGCCCCGCTGTGCCGCTCTGGCTGCCTCATTGGGCCAGAGGCTGGGCGGAGGAGCAGCTGTGGGTCGGCAGAGTCCAGGCTTCCAGAGCACGTTCGAGAAGGTGCGGCCACCGTTGGTCAGCAGCAGACTGCACTGCGCCAGGCGCAGGGCTCCATGTGCCTTTGCTTCTTGGGTTGTCTCCAGGTGTCATCTCAATTTTATCAACAAAAACTGAGGCTCGGGGACATTTTGTAATGACAAAATACATACAAATGACAAACCTGCCTTTTGCACCATGACTTGCCTACAAAGCCGGACACACACAAGGTAGGGGGGAGCGGTGACTGGTACGCGGGGGTCTCCCATTCTCTCTACTTTCCTCACGAGGGAAAATGTTCATAATAAAAAGCAAGGGGAGGGCGCCTGAGTGGCTCAGTTGGTTAAGCGACTGCCTTCGGCTCAGGTCATGATCCCGGAGTCCTGGGATCGAGTCCCACATCGGGCTCCCAGCTCAGCGGGGAGCCTGCTTCTCCCTCTGATCCTATTCCCTCTCATGCTGTTTCTCTCTCTCTCTCTCTCTCAAATAAATAAATAAATAAATAAATAAAAAAAGCAAGGGGAGAAACAACCACTTATAAACCAATGGCCAACGCCCAGAAAATGCTGAGATTCTTCATTTTAGACATGCTTTCTATTTGTCCTGTGTATCTCAGGCCACATAAATCAAGGGACCAAGCCCGTGCACCGGGGTTGGGGCATCCAGCCCTGGGTGTGAGCACCGTCCCTGCCCCTCTCGGGCCCCCCTTTCTCTCCTAGCCTGCTCCCTCCCCCCTGCAGCGACCCCCACCCAGAGCACAGGAGAAGCCGTCCTTGGCTTGCAGCTCCCTGTCTACGTGGGTACGACAAGTTGTTCTGTGAATGAACTTCCTTGACCCGCATCCAAGGCTGCTATGCGTTGAGTTGTATCCCCTGAAAAGACATGTTGAAGTCCTAATCTTTTTTTTTTTTAAGATTTATTTATTTATTTTAGAGAGAGCGCGAACAGGCGCGAGAAGTGGGGAGGGACAGAGGGAGAGAATCTCAAGCAGACTCCCCACCGAGCACGGAGTTCGACACGGGGCTCAATCCCACAACCCTGAGATCATGATCTGAGCCAAAATCAAGAGTCAGACGCTTAACCGACTGAGCCACCTGGGTGCCCTGAAGTCCTAAGCTTTAGCACCTGTGACTGTGACCTTACTTGGAGCGTCTTGGCGGAGCAAGCTGGGGGGGTCGTTGGGATGGGCCCTAACACAATATGACTGGTGTCCTTATAAAAAGGGAAAATCTGGACACAGAGGTAGACACGCACACAGGGAAGAGGAAGTGAACACGGCCATGTGACAACCTAAGCAGAGACTGGAGTGATGTGTCCACAAGCCAACAGTTGCCAAGGATGGCAGAGAAGCAACCGAAGCTACGAGAGGCGGGAAAGACCCTCCGCTGGCGCTGGCAGGGGCAGCGTGGTCCCCCGAGCCTGGATTTTGGACTTGCAGCCCCCAGAACAGTGAGACAGCAACACACTCCCGCTGGTCGAAGCCACCAGCACTTTCCAGGGCTGGTTCCAGCAGCCCCACGGAAGGGCCTACAAGGTCCTCTGTGCTTCAGTCCCTGCATGCCTCTCCGGGGTCTCCTTCCGCCATTCAGAGTATGTACCCCCGTCCCATTCGGAGGTGCTGGTGAGGATGCCCGGTGCCCACTAGACTCTCCTCTTCCATGCTCCTTGCTCATGTGCCCGTGGCTGCCAGTGGTGTATCCTCCGGGACCCGAGCTGTCCTCACACACTGCCGTGCACACTTCTCTACCAGTCCTCTGGCTTCGCTGTCATTGT